GAGTGCACTCATTTACATGCAGGCAATACACTCATACACATAAATAAAAATTAAAATATTAATAAATAAATAAATAAAAATGTAATTCAAAAAAATTTAAGGGGGTGGTTCAGTGGTTAAGAGCACTGGGTGCTCTTGCAGAGGAGCACTTGGGTTTGATTCCCAGCACCCACATGATGGCTAACAGCCATTGGTAATTCAGTTCCAGAGGCTCTGACACCCTCTTCTGACCTCCATGGGCACTGCATGACACATGTACACTTACATACATGCAAGCAGTACACTCATACGCATAAAATAAATAATATTTTTAAAGACTTGTATAACATGCATTTTACCAACTGAACCATCTCTATACTCCCAGCACTTTTGAGTTCTTTTATAGGACAGTGAAAATTTTGAGTCATCTCATTCCCAGCTGAGGTTAAATAAGGCCTCTTGTTTTAGCTCTCATATTGTACGTTGATCTTTTTGTGTACTTTTTAAATTACATTTAAAAGATTTGTATGTGTGTGTAAGCAGTCATGTGCCATGGCACATGTGTGGAAATCAGAAAACAACTTGCAGGAGTTAGTTCTTGCCTCCCACTATGTAGATCCCGAGTATCTTCGACCTTAGCCCTGCCACTCTTAACCTCTTGAGACATCTTACAGGGCCCATAGTTTTTGTATTTCATTTAGTGCCACTTTTTTTCACATTCTCATGCTTTCTGGTGATGATTTCACTGTTTCAAACTGCCCTCAAACTTAGTACTGATGGTGTTCCTGAGTACAAGAACACAGTGATATGCTGGGCGTGGTGGTATACGACTTTAATTCCAACACTCAAAAGGCAGAGGCAGGTGGGTTTCTGTGAGTTCCAGGCCAGCCTGGTCTACATAGTGAATTCCAGGCCAGCTGGGGTTACAGGGAGACCCTGTCTCAAAAAGAACCAAAAAAAAAAAAAAATCAACAAAGTATGTTAAACAGGATACCTTTAAACAAAAGTACACATACACAAAGTCTTCGTGAGTAAAAAAATAAGCCTTTCTTAAATTAAAACCAATGAAATTTAGAAGAATAATTTGTTCTTATAGCATAGTGTTCAGCTCTCCTGGCTAAAAAAAAATTTAATATATAT